GTTAGATACACACATTTGGTGAATACACGTTTGCTCACGTTTTCTAATAAAAAAAAGAAATGCGATTGTTTCTCGCCACTACCTCGGCTGCAATGATTGCCAATGGTTCCGTGTCAAATACACTCAAAGGAGCACTACTACTATTAACAGGAATAATATATATAGATAAAGTTCAATTAAAAACTATTTTTTATTTATTTTTTATATAAAACTTTATATTTTTTTTTTAGATAACTGTTTTTTAATTTAATGCACATTTTATGTTTAAGTGATTTTTATTATTTTATAAGTTACCTAATAACTAATTTTAGAAGTTAATGAGTGTGCGGACTTGAATATAAATTGTAATTGTAATTCTAAAATATTAAACTTTAAATTTAACTGAATCGTCGTCTTTAAGTTTTTCTTGTAGTTAAGAAAAACTTTTTTTTTTTTACCAACATTTTTTTAATGCAAATTTGCATATATTGCAAATTTTCATAAAATTGCAATTTTTATAACTTTAAATGCCAATTTTTAACTTTTTCAACAAATTGATATTCAGACTAAAGCCTAGTTCAGTGCAAACAGTGATTGCATAAATAAAATAGAAGGACATTAATGCTATTAGTAATACTTATTGCTGTAACAATTTTTCTAAATTTAAATAAAATAAAATAAAAAAAATATTGAGGAAAACCATTTTACACAATCATTAAGAATCAAAAAAAACTTGAAGATCACAATTTCCTACAATGTCATTATGTAAAGAATTGTGATCTTCAACATTTTTGTTATAACTTTGTTTAGTTAAACGCCATCTGCATATCTTTTTTAATATGGATTAAAAATTGTTGGTATATTGTTTACAAATATCAAAAACAAACATGGAAATAACCACAAAGCTCATAGGCACACCAATAAAAATCTCAAACCAATACACGGTGACCCGTATTCACAACTCTCTACAACTCATCCCAATTCTTTAACTTCTTTCTCTTAAAAAAAAGTACAACCTTAAAATCATAAGCTTTTCAGTTTTTCAACAATTGCCTGAGTTGAACTTTATAAAAGTATATGTTCCAGCCCACCTGGCCGGGAGACATACAACAAACGCACAATGAACGTTCAGACGGAACGTCTTAGACGCGTTCAAAACACATATATGTATAAACGCTCAAGGACGTCCTATTCGGCGTTCAAAAGACGTCTTATTCGGACGTTCAAAAGACTTCCTATATAATAATACGTTCCAATTATGTTCAGTTTTATGAAAATAGACACGCGTTCTATAATAGTTCTAACTATTTAGTTAAGCGATATCGGGATTACTTGTACGCATATGGAAATTAAGTTCCATATGCGCACAAGCAATCCCGATATTGCTACAGCAATATCAGCTCGATATCTATTCTATAATAGATATCTTTTGAATGTTTAAAGTTGGTTTTGAATGTTTTAAAGACTTTAAATAATGCATGAGCATAATTTAGCAGTTACAGAAAATTGAAGGGTCATGATTTTTAGGTTGAAAAGATAACAGTTTCGGGAACATTTTCGCCTTAATACACAATTAGAATACACAATTACAAGTATACACAATCTACAAATTATTTAAGATTACATATTTAAAAAAATTAAAAAATAACTAATAATACACTTTTCGATTTCATTTTCAGTAAACTTGGGCATGGTCTCTGTGAAAAACAAAATTGTAATAAAAGAAAGTTTAGAATAATAGTTCATGGTAGCCTTCACACACTTAATTAAATATTAACAACAAAAACAAAAACCTGTTTATGATATATGATAAAGTATAGTTTCAACACTGAAACTAATAAGTCAAATAAGTATATTGTAAAACTAAAAACCCAAGCTAAGTAAAAAAAAAAAAAAAGATTTATATCTATGTACTAACAATAATCTTTATCACATTTGTCTTGCGAAATGGCATCTTCTTCCCTGTACCATTGAAATTAAAATTTGACGTTAACTTGTATGGCATTAGTCTAGGTAGTAATTAGAATAATTAAGTAATATATAGCATAAGTTTAAGTATATAATCATAGCGTACAGCTGGCTGGAGAAATGTTATCATGTCAGCTATGAACTTGTGTTATTTGTTTCATATATTTTATGCAAAGCATAATTTTGCAGAAAAAAAATATAATTAGGAAAATAAGCAATTAAATCATTTTCCAGATAAATACTTTA